TCAGTAAATGTTCCAAGTCGAATGTTCTGAAAATGTTTGTAATCTGTTCGTGTTTGCCACAGTGTGAACTAACTAAAAGTTCGATGTTTGACGCTAGAGTTTTCATGGTGGCTTCATAAACTAGGTGAAATAGCGAGACCATGTTCGGTAGTGAGACTACCGCATGTAAGTTTTAGCTTTTGGCCCAAGTTGTGTTGCGCAACCCTTTTTACTCTACAGAGAAAATCTAAAACCAGCTTGCTCGCCAACCAGTTTGCTATCCGTCTGCAGAAATACAGAAACAAGGTGCTATTAGGCAGTTACTTCACAAGCACAGACAATTAACTGAAAATCAATAAGCACATCAAAACTTACTCCGCAACATTTGACTGCTTCATGACTTCTGAACCCAACGAAATTAAAATGAATATTTTGCACAAGTGCTCGGCATAGGAAATCCTCCATGAATGACAAATTAATCCTCGGTTAATTACTAGTAACCTCCACCCCTATCTTCTGATAAATGGGAACTTAAACAACCAACTTCACCAGTAATCAAAAAGCTCATTTTTCTGGATGAAAGTATCAAAAGTAACCGCATTGGGTTGCAATTTTTTACCCATCATCTCTTTGAATTTCTTTTTAGCCTCATCTATCCTTCCAGCCTTTCATAGAGCACTAATTATGATAGAATATGTAACTAAGTCAGGAGTACATTTCATGCTACAGTTAACATCATCAACTAGGCCAATAAATGAGTTTCCAAGGTTACCTAGAGCAGCACTTCCGTGCGTCCACATCTCATCGGTGATTTCCATAGCTTTTTCCAACTTCCCACTTATACACAAACCATCAATTACAATATTGCAGGTTACAGTATCCACACCATAACCTTTTTCATTCATCTTTGCAATAACTCTTCTGCCTCTAATATTTTCCCCTCTTTCCACAAGCTATGCAGCAAAATATTGCAAGTATAAGTATTCGGGACACAACCATTTCTCATCATCTCATTTAGAATATCATTTGCTTCAGATAACTTCCCTTTACGACAGTAGCCATGTAATAAAGGCTGTAATTATTGTATCGGGAGAAAAACCACTCCTTATAATAAAACTCATCACCATTATACGAGTAAATATTAGGTTCTACACCTTTATTTACCATGTCCTTAAGTACAAGTTGAGCCTCTACTAACTTCCCATTTCTTAGCAACCCCAACAACTAGATATTATAACTCTCTAAATTCATCAAATCGCCATTTTTCTCCATAGACTCAACCAAGTTCTTTGCTTCCACCAGCATCCCTGCTTATAGCACCCCTCAAGCATTAGATTAGGTTATAACATTAGGCCGAGTAGCCCCACGGCTTCATCTATTTGCATCTCTCTAAAAATCCTTGATGCTTCGAGAACTTGGCCCGCTTTACAAAAAGCGGATATTCTAGCATTGAATGTAACTTCATCAGGAAACAAACCACCTCTCTCATTCTTTCTACCAAATTTTCAGCATCATCAGTTTTACCTTCCTTACAAAAAACTCGAAATCAATGTATTATACACAACTCTATTCGGCAAAATCCTGGACTTTTTCATCTCATCCAAAAGCTCCACCCCTTTATTAGCAAGGGCGAATCTGCAATACCCCGAACCAAAATGCCAAAACTAAACTCATTAGGCAGACAACCTTTCTCAGGCATTTTATCAAATAATTCTCGGGCGTCCTCCAAATGACCCAAATCACACAACCCACAAATCAAAAGATTGAAAGTATAAGTCTGAGGATAAACACCGGCAACGACCATATCTCTATACAACCAAAGCACACAATCCGAAATTCTTTCTTTAATACAACATCCAAAGAGAACATTGTACAAACAAATGAAAGGCGGGCTTTGTGGGAAGTTTGTTCTTATGGACCGGAACTGGGAAAAGGCTTTATCAAAGAAACCTGATTTAGCTAAGAGACTGACAAGGGAAATGATGGAGCAGAGGGGATTTTGTTGGAGGTGTGAGGATAAGAGGAGCAGCTGAAGCTGATCGATTTCTGGGAGCAATTTAGAACGTATAAGGATACGGGCAATGGTGGGCACTGATGAAAGAACAGAGGGATTGGGTTGTGAAGATTGAATCTGCTTGAAGAGTTGCCATGCTAGCTTTGGGTTTTTGGTGTTTTTGAGGAGTGCTTGGGTAAGTTCTGTTGTTCCCATGAAAACACGATCGAGGGGGAGAAAGTTATGGTTTTGGATCAAACTATTGATCGCTAAAGAAAGGGTGAGTCAAAGTTGAAGAGAGATAACCACTGCTTCCTTGACCTTGTCATCCTTCTCTCTCGTTATGAATGTATAGCATTCTGAGCTGCTGGTCTGATGTATCGGTGCTCGATTGCTAACAGGAACCGCCGTATTGAACTGGTGGAGGAAGACTGGTTTAGCCAAGTTATAAACAGTGTTATGGTCTCCAAGGATCAAAGTGCAACGCAGATAGGACTAACGTGGACCGGGGCTAAATAACCTATATAAATATATATTAAAATAGGATAACTAACAATTACTAACCAAATGAGATATTATATTCTCTAACTAATATAAGAGTTTCAAACTCTGATAATAAATTAGGTTTGGAGTATTATTTTATAATAAATTTATGTAAATTTCAACCAGGATTAATCGATAAATTAATCGGATATTAGTGATTAATCCAAAATAATAAGATAAACTACAAATTTTATTAGTCAACTTCTTCTCACTCGTATTTTAATCACTAAAATTTTAAAATAAATATTTATTGAACTTTTAATTTACTCCTATTTTGATTATTCTATCATTACATATTTAAAGACATTATGATTGAATATTTTTGTAAAAAAAATTATGAAACACTTTAAATGAAATTTTCAAGTTCCAACAATAGATAGATGTAAAAGGAGGAAGCAGGTTGTATATCTTATTTTCATGTTAATCAGATGACGAATATTATAGACCATAGTGTTTTAGAGTTTTATAAGTTTTAAATTGAATGTCACACCCCAATTTAGGGGCTAAAATTTAAGAAATTATAAAGTGGTGGATTTAATTGATATTTTGGAAGAAATTTAGGGATTATATTGTAAAATCACAAAGTTAGAATATCATTTTATAGAGTTTAGGAAATTCAGTGGTTAAACTCTTGATTTGCCCATTTTTGTTTAGGAGAGAATTATAAACTCTCCCCCCGTGTTGCAGATTTTATTTTTTTCCCAGTTTCCCTTCCCCTTCAACCCTCCTTTCAACTCCGATCTACGTATCATTCGGCCTCCGTTCGACGAACCGAAACCACCATCGTGTTCGTTGTCGACCAATGAAAAAAACCTTTCAAACCTCTCGTCGTGAATCGTTGTCATTGGTCGTTAATTTCAGTCGGAAGTATCGTCGGTTTTAACTCAATTTTCGTTGGTTTTCCGTCGATTCACGTCGATTCGGCCATCCGTTTTCGACACGTACCGCACCGTCGTGTTCCTTGCGTCGTTCCGAGTCCACCGGTGTATTATTTACTGAGTATTATTTAATTAATATAAGAGTTTCAAACTCTGATAATAAAATAGGTTCGGAGTATTATTTTATAATAAATTTATGTAAAACTCAATATGGATTAATCGATAAATTAATCGGATATTAGTGATTAATCCAAAATAATAAGATAAACTACAAATTTTTTAGTCAACTTCTTCTCTCTTATTTTGATCACTAAAAATTTAAAATAAATATTTACTGAACTTTTAATTTCCTCCTATTTTGATTATTCTATTTAACGACATTATGATTGAATATTTTTGTAAAACAAATTATGAAACACTTTAAATAAAATTTTCAAATTCTAACTATAGAGAGATGTAAAAAGAGGAAGCATGTTCTATATCTTATTTTCATGCTAATCAGATGAAGAATATTATAGACCATAGTGTTTTAGAGTTTTTTTAAGTTTTATATTGAATTTTATGAGTTTTAAAGTGATTTATGTAAAATCTAAACTGATAGAGTGATAGAAGATAATTGGACGAATTAGTCGATAACTTGAATGATTGAAAAAGACACACAAAAAATGTTAATTACAGCGTCAACACGAGACAATGATAAAATTATAAAATTTTCATATTTGAAATAAGAGAAAAAGAAAATAACTTGAATGACACAAAATCTATGTCAATAAAAACAACTAACATTAGCACACATGACTACTATATACCTTTCCATTTATAATTTAAACATTCAAATAACAAAAATAGAAGTAAATCAAAAATTTAATGAGTCAAGGGAACATAATTAAACTTTTATGATCAAATTAAAAATGAAAAAAAAATAATGATAAAATTTATAATTTACCCATCAAAATAATACTCATTCTCCGTAATTAATTAGTTCAATATATTTATATCTAATCGATTTAATTAGAATATATTGATTTGTCTAACCAAAATTGAGCTGTAATTTAATTAGAAAATATTGATTTGTTTAACCGAAATTGAGCTGTAAAACTAAATTAATTAAAATTATATTTAACTTAATCACAATAATCGAATTAACCAAAATCAATTTAACCGAATGATTCATTTAGTTGATTTTAACCGACTTATCCTCTCCCTTATTCATTACTCAAACCCAAAACCGCCATTGTTGATCAAAAGCTAAGCACTTGTAACGTTTAGAAACAGCATTGGTTGGAAATAACAAGAGCTGACTTTTGATTCTTGATGACTCACAGCCATTTGATCAAATAGCTCAAACTTGTCATTCTAATCCTTTATTGGATAATCAAAATCCACTCTGTTGTTGGTGTTGATTATATATATATTCACATGTATATATCTTTATTCTCCGACTTCTCTTGTTCTTTACGCTACAAAAACAGAAGGAAAAAAAGGGTTCTTTGCTCTCCGAGTTTCATCCTTTTTTTTTAATTTCATTTGATCCCAAAAAGAAAGCTTTGATCTAATTTTGAGGGGAAAAGGTTTGAGTTTTGTGTTGAGGAAGAAAAGGGTTTGTCATGGATCATGAAGCTGATGCTCATAGAACTGATTTGATGACCATCACTCGCCATGTCTTGAATGAGCAAACCAAGCACCCTGAATCTCGTGGCGATTTCACCATCTTGCTCAATCACATTGTTCTTGGCTGCAAATTCGTCTGCTCTTCTGTTAGCAAGGTCCTTTTACACTCTTTACTGGTGATCATTTGGTATTTTTGTAGTTCTGATATCAGATTTCACTTGCAAAATCATTGTTCTATGTGTACAGGCGGGTCTTGCAAAACTATTAGGACTTGCAGGAGAGACCAATGTTCAGGTATGCCTTCATCGTTAATGGCTTTCATTTTCCACCATCTTCTGTTGTATGAATTGAGATCCCCCCCTCCCATGTTTTAGGGTGAAGAACAGAAGAAGCTGGACGTGCTTTCGAATGAAGTTTTTGTTAAGGCTTTGATTAGCAGTGGACGAACAGTAAGCCTGAAAAACTCTGTTCATATCTTTGATTGAATGAAAATTAGTGCATAATCTTATGTGTAATCTTGTGTAGTGCATCCTGGTTTCGGAGGAGGACGAAGAGGCTATATTCGTCGATCAATCGAAGCGTGGAAGGTTTGATACATGCAGAAATCCGACACGGATATGCCTAATCATCGTGTCCGAGTATTGGTTACGAATTCTAGGCTAAATTTTGTATTTGTTTATGCAGATACATTGTTGTTTTTTATCCATTGGACGGATCCTCAAACATTGATTGTGGTGTTTCCATAGGAACTGTAAGCTCGCCCTTTGCTTCAGCCTTCAGCATTTCCTTTGTTCTAAACTGGTTTATGCATGGTGAACATGAATGTTTACCTCTTGTGATCAGATTTTCGGGATTTATCTGGTAAAAGATAAAGACTATCCGACGATCGATGACGTATTGCAACCCGGAAGAAACCTCCTAGCAGCCGGTTATTGCATGTACGGAAGCTCCTGCACGGTAAGAACAATCACCACTATCAGCATTTACTGCAACTCAGATATTTTGTTTTGATAATGGAAACACATTGGAAGGTTCTTTGCTTTTGATTTGCAGCTAGTGCTGAGTACCGGGAGTGGCGTCAACGGTTTCACACTCGATCCATCTCTCGGCGAGTTCATACTAACCCATCCCAATATCAAGGTACCAAAAAGGGGAAAGATTTATTCAGTAAATGAAGGAAATGCCATGAATTGGGATGAGCCAACTACAAAGTTTGTGGAAAAATGCAATTTCCCTGCAGATGGTTCACCCCCAAGGTCCCTTAGGTACATTGGAAGGTAATCTACTATTAGGCTCGCTATGTTACTCGGACGCTTCGAGCACCGGACATGAGTATATTTACATGTGTCTGGATATGTGTTGCATTTTATACTCCACCGAAGATAACACTAATGGCATTTGCCTTTGCAGCATGGTTGCAGATGTGCACCGGACACTGATTTACGGCGGTATCTTCTTATACCCTGCAGATAAGAAAAGTCCAAACGGAAAGCTTCGGTACAACATCGCTTTGAAAGCTCCATTTCTTCATTGCAATTTTGGTTTATTTCCTCACTTAACTTCTTTCCTATACAGTCTTCTTTACGAAGTCTTCCCAATGTCATACCTGATGGAGCAGGCTGTGTTGATTTTTTGGAGATGGGTAAATTACACTTTAGCCATTGCTCTTTAGGGTATTTTCAAAGATTAGTCCTTAGCATCAACTATAAATACCCTAGCCTGTTTAGCTTCAAAATCATCCTCAAATCTTCCACTTCTCTCTCAAGTGTGTTTTGTAAACACGTGTAATTTTCTATCTTAGTAAAAGATCTGCAGCAGTCTGGAGACGTAAGCACAACTGGCTAAACTCCGTTATCAATTTTTCGGGTATTATTTTTCCGTTTTTATTTCACATTCTCACTAATCTGGTTATAAGGAAATTACTTGTTACTCGGTTTATTTTCCAACAACTGGTAATCAGAGCTTTTGGTTGTGAATTTTTGTCAATTTTTTGCGAGGTTACTATTTATTATTATTCACGTAAATAGTGAATTTCGTGAATAGTAAAAAAAATTGGCGATACGAATTTGTCGACGGAGGTGTTCTAATACACGGTGGTTCACAAGAATTGTCGGAAACGATCCAAACAAAGCCAGATTCGAGTGGGAGCGATGGCTGCAGACGAAGGGAAGGTGAAAATTGAAAAGTTCGATGGTGCAGACTTTGGCTTTTGGAATATGCAGATTGAATATTTTCTGTACCAGAAAAATCTATATCAACCTCTCTCAGGAAAGCAACCAGAGGGCATGAAGAATGAAGATTGAGCTCTTCTCGACAGACAAGCCCTCGGAGTTATCCGACTGACGTTATCCCGCAATGTTGCTTTCAACATAGCAAAGGAAAAGACCATGGCGGGTCTTATGTCAGCTCTCTCCAGTATGTATGAGAAGCCATCGGCCTCAAACAAAGTTCATTTGATGAGGTGATTATTCAATTTGCGGATGACAGAAGGGGCATCGATGGCACAACACCTAAATGAACTCAACACAATCACAACCCAGTTGAGTTCAGTGAAAATTGAATTCGATGATGAAGTTCGAGCTTTAATTCTCTTATTATCTCTACCAGACAGTTGGAATGCTACTGTTATAGCAGTTAGCAGCTCGTCGAGAAATAGTAAATTGAAATTCGACGATGTTCGAGATCTGGTACTTAGCGAAGAAATTCGACGGAGAGAATCGGGTGAAGCATCAACATCCTCAGCCTTGCACAAGGAGTCTAGAGGGAGAACTTCAGAAAGAAATTCAAATCGTGGTAGATCGAAATCCAGAAGGGGCAAATCAAGAACAGGAAAGAAAGAACTTACCTGTTACAATTGTGGCAAGAAGGGTCACTTTAAAAGAGATTGTCGAGCACTGAAGAAAGATACCGGCGCACAGGAATCTGCCAACGTGACAGAGGAGACAGGTGATGCCATGATTCTAAGCGTCAACAGTCCGATTGAATCATGGATCTTGGATTCAGGGGCATCTTTCCACTCTATTCCATGTCGAGAAATCATGAAAAATTATATCAGTGGTGATTTTGGGAAGGTTCATCTAGCTGATGATGAAACCTTGAAGATCGTCGGAAAAGGAGACATCCGACTAAAGTTGCCAAACCAGACCACCTGGACACTGAAAGGAGTGATATATATTCCTAGCCTCAAAAGAAATTTGATTTATATAGGACAACTTGATGGTGAAGGATTTAGCACAACCTTTTCAGGCTGTGAATGGAAGATTACCAAAGGAGCACTCGTCATTACTCGTGGTAAGAAAACTGGTATTCTCTATATAACCTCAAATTTAAAGAATATCATTGCAGTAGCAGATGCTGATGGAAAATCAAACCTATGGCACCAAAGGCTTGGCCATATGAGCGAGAAAGGGATGAAGACACTTTTGTCAAAGGGGAAGCTGCCGGATCTAAAGAATGTAGATGTTGGACTATGCGAGGATTGCATCTTTAGCAAACAAAAGAAAGTCAGCTTTGCAAAGATTGGTAAGACACCCAAGGCTGAAAAGATAGAGTTGGTTCATACTGATGTATGGGGACCATCTCCAGTTCCATCTCTTACAGGCTCATTATATTATGTCACCTTCATCGATGATTATACAAGGAAGGTGTGAGTTTATTTTCTGAAGAAGAAATCAGAAGTCTTTGATACCTTCAGAAAATGGAAGGCAATGGTGGAAAATGAGACTGGTCTGAAAGTCAAGCGGTTGAGGTCTGACAATGGAGGAGATTCAGAGATTTCTGCGCAAACAATGGGATCAAGATGGAGACAATAGTTCCCATGACACCGTAGCAGAATGGCATAGCAGAGCGCATGAACAGAACTCTGAATGAACGTGTCAGAAACATGAGGATATATGCCGAATTGCCCAAATTTCTATGGGTTGAAGCTATCAACACTGCAGCTTACCTGATCAACCGTGGGCCCTCAGTTCCTTTGGATAGCAGAATACCAGAGGAAGTTTGGAGCAAGAAAGAAATAAATATTTTACACTTAAGAGTGTTTGGTTGTATTTCTTATGTACACAGACTCTGCTGAAAGAAGTAAACTTGATGCTAAGTCCAACAAATATGCCTTTGTTGGTTACGACGGTGATGAGTTCGGTTACCGGTTTTGGGACTATGAAAATCGGAAGATCATCAGAAGCAGAGATGTCATTTTCAATGAGAATGTGATGTACAAAGACAAGTCAACCATGGAATCAAGTAGCTCCAACACCGAAGCTGAAATAAAGGAATTTGTCGAGTTTGAGGAGATTTCTGGAAATGATGTTCAGATCAATCCTGAAGCACTTCAAGAAGAACCAGGCACACCAGAACTGAGACGCTCCTCCAGAATTTCTAAACCAACCTAACGGTATTCTCCTTCTTTGCACTACTTGTTACTGACTGACAATGGTGAACCAGAGTGCTATGATGAAGCAATGCAAGTGGAGGATTCAGTCAAGTGGGAGTCTTCCATGAAAGATGAGATGGACTCGCTTATGTCAAATCAGACATGGGAATTAGCTGAATTACCACCAGGCCAGAAAGCACTTCATAACAATTGGATTTACAGGATCAAAGATGAACACGATGGGAGCAAACGCTATAAAGCAAGATTGGTTGTCAAAGGTTTTCAGCAAAAAGAAGGTATTAACTATAATGAAATTTTCTCTCCATACGTAAAACTGTCTACAATCAGACTGGTGTTGAAAATTGTAGCTGTAGAGAATTTACATCTTGAGCAGTTAGATGTAAAGACAGCTTTCCTTCATGGTGATTTGGAGGAAGAAATCTATATGAGGCAGCTAGAAGGCTTCATAAAGGCATACAAGAAAAACCTGGTATGCAGGTTGAAGAAGAGCTTGTATGGTTTAAAACAAGCTCCTAGACAGTTGTACAAGAAGTTCGACAACTTCATGGGTAGCAATGGTTTTACCAGATGCCAAGCAGATCATTGTTGCTACATTAAAAGGTTCAACAATAGCTTCATTATTTTATTGTTGTACGTTGATGACATGCTCGTTGCAGGCTCAGACATGCAAGAGATTATAAACTTGAAGCAAAAATTGTCGAAGTAGTTTGCTATGAAGGATCTGGGCGCTGCAAAGCAAATTCTTGGGATGAGGATTAAAAGAGACACAAAGTCGGAGACTTTGATGTTATCACAGGTTGAGTACATCAACAAAGTACTCTCTAGGTTCAACATGCAAGATGCTAAACCAGTAAGTACACCTTTAGGTATTCATTTTAGACTCTCCAAAGAACAGTCACCGAAGACGGAGGAAGAACGTGCACACATGGTGAAGGTGTCGTATGCCTCAGCAATTGGAAGTCTAATGTATGCCATGGTTTGTACTAGACCAGATATTGCTCATGCAGTGGGAGCTATTAGCAGGTACATGAATAATCCGGGTAAGGTACATTGGGAAGCAGTCAAATGGATCCTCAGATATCTGCGGGGTACCACAAACAAAGCACTTTGTTTCAAAGGTGGAGATACGATACTGACAGGCTATGTAGATGTTGACTTAGCCGGAAATGTTGACATCAGAAGGAGCACTACAGGGTACGTCTATACTCTAGGAGGAACCGAAGTGAGTTGAGTTTCTCAACTGCAGAAGATAGTTGCTCTCTCCACAACTGAAGCAGAATATGTCGCTGTTACGGAAGCCAGCAAGGAGATGATTTGACTCCAAAGTTTCTTGAAAGAGTTAGGCAAGAAACAAGAAAATAATATTTTGTATTGTGATAGTCAAAGTGCTATCCATCTAGCAAAGAATCCGTCTTTTCATTCCAGGACGAAGCACATACAATTACGGTATCATTTTATTCGGTCTCTTCTAGAAGATGGGATTTTGAAACTTGAAAAGATTAGTGGAGCTCAAAATCCGGCAGACATGTTGACAAAGACGGTGACCACGGACAAACTGAAGTTGTGTTCAGCTTCAGTTGGCATGCTAGAGTAACAAGACCAGAAATGCTGCTGCATTGATCGAGGTGTGAAGACAGATTAGAATCAGTCTTCAAATGGGAGATTGTTGAAAGAGACAAACATTTTTTCGGTGCATTAAAAGCACCAAATAATTTAGTCAAAAAATGGGGTTGTCAAAAAGGATGGGCACCGAAAAAATGAGTTGTGTTTTGTTGATTTTTTGGAGATGGGTAAATTACACTTTAGCCATTTCTCTTTAGGGTATTTTCAAAGATTAGTCCTTAGCTTCAACTATAAATACCCTAGCCCGTTTAGCTTCAAAATCATCCCAAAATCTTCCACTTCTCTCTCAAGTGTGTTTTGTAAACACGTGTAATTTTCTATCTTAGTAAAAGATCTGCAGCAGTCCGGAGATGTAAGTACAATTGGATGAACTCCGTTATCAATTTTTCGGATATTATTTTTCCGCTTTTATTTCAAATTCTCACTAATCTGGTTATAGGGAAATTACTTGTTACTCGATTTATTTCCCAACAGGCTGGAGGTCAAGCTTTCACTGGAAAACAAAGGGTAATATGACTTGCTTGCCTCAATCATTTTCGATCGAGAAAACTCGAGTTCCTTACCGTTCGACTCTTCGACCGTCGGTTCGATTCACAAGGCAACAGAATCCTCATATGTTGTTAATTTTCCATGCATTTGTAGGCACTTGATTTAGTCCCAGGGAAGATACATGAGCGATCTCCTGTTTTCCTTGGCAGCTATGATGATGTTGAAGAGATTAAAGCACTCTACGCTGATTCAAATTAAGATGGACAAGAAGAAAGAAAACAATTGCATAAACTTGTAGGCCATAAGTCACTTTAACCTTTAACATGTGATTCCATACTATGTTTATAATTTTTCTTCGGAAAAATAATGATATTTGGGATTTTACATAAATATAATATTTTAATATTTTCTTTGTTTTTTTACGTTAATTCTATTATTCGGAGTTTCGTAATTATCTCTCTTAATAATATGAACAACATACCTTATCACTATACTCAAAATTTAGTAATTCAATAAAACAATTTTTTTTAAAAGAATGATATTTGAGATTTTACATAAATACAATGTTTTAATATATATTTTTTATTCTTTTAAGTTAATTCTATTATTAGGAGTTTCGTAATTATCTCTCTTAATAATATCAACAAAGTGCCTTATCAATATACTCAAAATTTAGTAATTCAATAAAAAAATAAAAAAAGAGTGATATTTGGGATTTTACATAAATACAATGTTTCAATATATTTTTTAATCTTTTACGTTGATTTTATTGTTCATGTTTTGAGTTTTGTAGTTATATCTCCTTATAATATTAGTAACGTATCTTATCATTATACTTAACATTTGATATTCGATCGATTAACTATAATAAAAATTAAAGAAAATCAAAGAAAATTTTATGTTTGAAATTTCGTTATTATACCTATTTATAAAATTAACAATGTACCTTACCATTATATTCGGTATTTGATCGATTAATTAAATTTGAAATTAAAGGAAATCAAAGAAAAACCACTTTAAGCATTGAAGGGATGTTGTCTAACTCTTAGAAAATTCAAACTTTTATATAATTAAAATATTTTTTATTTTATATTAATATTTAATTTTATATCTCTTAAATTTTTACATTCCATGATTAATTGAGTCAGATCGGACCACTACAGTTCAGTATAACCAGGTCGGATCTGACTCAGCCACGCCAAATTCTCTTTTTGAGTTAAATCAAATTGCACCCATGTCTTATTGCGCAACTGCCTAGTTCGCATGGAAAGAAGAGAGCTTTGGAGCCAAAAAGATGATATTTTTAACTTTATTTGTTAAAGGGGGAAAAGAACAACTTTTATGACGAAATGGGTCTTTGCTTTTGTGCCAGATAAGCTCTTTCCACTGCTTTACAACATTTCCATTCGAGAAGAATCCCAAAACTGTGTACGTTAGCTTCAGTGAACGAGTCGGGTGTTACATTTGAGTTTTGCAATGTTGCATGCAATTTGGGTGTTTATTTGTTTGGGATTTTCTGAATCTTGTTGCTGGATTTCGTTTTAATTTTTGTATCCGCTCAAAGATTTTGCTTTAATTCACCTACTAATGTTAGCAGCCATTGCCGTCTCTGGTTCTCCATTTCCAAAAAGTGTCAATATTGCCTATAAAAAGCTTGTAAGTTACATTGAAAGTAGTATTGAAATTGTTTTTTGACAAACTATGGAAGGAAATCCAACATCAGATAACAATCTGATTCCAGGTGGTCAGACTCAGTCATTTGCATATTTGGACTCACTAGGCTCATTTCAGGTTCATCAAGGGTTAGACGACCAGCAATTTTACCAGCAAGGTTCCCAATTTCAGGATGTTTTGCCATTCGGGTCTGAGAATACGAAAGAAATCGAAAAACCAAGTGATGATAATTGGAACAAGTTGGATAAACAAGGTGGTGGTGATGGATGTTATGATGGTTCCGAGGAGAGAGGCGAGTTCTTGTGGCAGCGAGTGAAATGGACACCACAAATGGTTAGGCTTTTGATTAATGCTGTTTTTTATGTTGATGAGGATGCTTCTTCTGATTGTCTGGGTGGTGTTAGAAGGAAATCGTCTATTGTGCATAAGATAGGGAAGTGGAATTGCATTTCAAAACTCATGGTTGAAAGGGGTCATCATGTATCGCCGCAGCAATGAGAGGACAAAGTCAATGATTTAAATAAAAGATACAAGAGACTCAATGATGTTCTTGGCATTGCAAATTTACCAATTACATTGCAAATTTACCAATTACATTATAATTATTGATTTCGTTGTTTTTTGGATCGATATAATTTTAAATGTATCGACACTTTATGTTTGCACCTCGTTGGACATTCCTAATTCATTCTGGAAAAAAGTATCAACACAAACTATAAAGGTGTCGATACATTATTTAGACCTATTTTCTCATAAAACCGGTATATTTATACCGGGTACATTGTAAATTTACCTATAACATTGTAATTTTTGTTTCGATGTTTTTGGGATCGATACAATTTTAAATGTATCGACACGTTATTCTTGCACCTCGTTGGGCATTCATTATGGACAAAATGTATCGACACAAATTACACAAGTGTCGATACTTTATTCTGACCTATTTTCTCATAAATCCGGTAAATTTAAACCGGTTACATTGTAAATTGACCTATTACATTATAATTATCGGTTTCGATGTTTTTGTGATCGATATAATTTTAAATGTATCGACACTTTATGCGTGAACCTGTTTGTGCTTTCTTTTGGAAAAAAGTATTGACACAAACTTAAAAAGTGTCGATACTTTATGTTGACCTGTTTTATAATTAACCGGTATATGTATATTGGTTACATTGTTAATTTAAATATTACATTATAATTATTTGTTTCGATGTTTTTGGGTCGATACTTTTTGAAAATATATCAACACATATTCTTACATATGTATCGAAACAAATCTTTGTGTTTACTAATTTTGTCATTAAAAAAGTATATTTTTACCACTTACATTGTAAATTTATCTATTACTTTAAAGTTATTGAATGTTGTAGTTATTGTACATACCTGAATATGTCCTGCAAATTTAATGTTGTACTCACCCTCCAACTACCACTACCATTACCACATCCTATTGAAAGCACCACTGAAAACATGTTGTTTAATGAACCTTTACTTACATCTCCATCAACTCCTGTTGGGACCACTAAAATTGCACAACAAAATATTTGCCATGAATCATAATGATGCAAACAATGTTAAGCCAACCGATGAATGCCATGAAGTATATAATGTTGATGAATCTGATATATTGGTTGGTAAGCTCTTCTCTTCACGTGATCAAGCTTGATACTTTTACAAGGGATTCGCACAAGAACATGGGTTTAGTGCACGTCAGGGAACAACACGGCTTGACATGGAAGGGAATGTGAAGACACAAGAATTTTGTGTTGTACGAAAGAAGGGTTTCGAGAATCAAAAGTCAATATCGTTGATCGTCAACGTACTCATACGCCAATCACAAGAATAGGTCATCCCCCCCCCCGTAAGATCCACTTTTGATATCCTCTTCAACTTCAGCATATGCCACCTTCTGATTCAAACCATATTTGGAGACAAGTGCTTTCCAGTTCTTACTCCTACAGACTTCTACAACACTTTTGCCATTGTTTTGTACCCCCAAGACGGCTGCAGCAGTCGATACCCCCAGAGGGAATGAATAATCACCATATTTAGCGATACATTGTTTGACATCAAATTGCTCCATCAAGGATCGACACAATTCCCTCCGAATTGGTCAATCCCCTACTCCTATCGACGATCTAAACCCCATTTCCCTCAGCACATTCAACTGATCCTTCTCTTTAAGGTTTTCAATTAATGAATTCACCCTTTTTATGATGCACCTTGTCGACACTTCCTATATTTTTTAACAATATATAATGTTATTGTTCTTCTATATCTTGTATCAACGTATTTACAAGTTTAATGAATACCTTCTTTTCATGTGCTTTCATCCGTTCTTTGTATTTTTTACTATCATTCCTTGACTGTGTGATGTAAGGTTCCTTTTCGGCATCACTCATCAAATTCCATTTCGACCTCACATCTTTTGTCACCTAATATTAAGCGTAAATGTTTCTTAATCAATACATTAACACTAAATAATACTCAATGTCAATTTCATTTTACATACCGAATCGCTGTGTGTGCCATCTTCCTTTATCCTTTTGCATTCGGCCATACTGTCAACATTTAAAATTTGTAATAAATTTAAAGTTTTAATCCAATTACTATTTCAACAATAATAACAAAAAGACTGATACTTACTAGAAGTACATATATCCACCCTTTGGTTGCTTTCCTCCCATTGACTTCATTTTTCCTTCATATATCAGTTTGCGCAAATCAAATCAAATACTGCTTACATACACTTTATTCAATATACAAAAATCAATAACCACTCATTGTGGTAAAACGGTTGGTCTTCAAAAGAATTTGAATGACCACTACAACAAGTGTCGACACATTTATACAACCTAAAATATCATTTTCTACCTATAATATCATTTTTACCTATAAATATTAACTAAAAGTATCGATTCGGTCCCAAATGCTTCTTTACTTCGAAAACCCCCAAACAACAACACATAAAAACCCTATTTCCCATTACTATAATAATAAAAAACTAGGGTTTCAACAACGTACCTTTCGATTCGACTGCAGCAACAAACAAATAAAACTTCACGTAGAAACGCCTTCTGAAATGCAACAACAATTACGCTTCGATTTCAAAAACTCTATCTATTTTCAGAGGATAACTACGCCTTTATATTTACACCGGATATGTTATTTATATTTAATCAATACAACTACATAAGTGTCGATACTTTCGATAGGATATTTACCTATTTCTTTGAAAGTATCGATAATTTATTACGCGTACTTATTAAAGTATTGTCACTTTCAACATATCCGATATCTATTTACCGGTTTTGTCATTTTGAGACCGATTTTATCATATTTTTACCTGTTATATTGTTTTGGATCGATATATTTTCATAAAGTGTCGAGACTTTTTAAGCGCTATAACTACTTCTCTTTTAAATTCAGAAAGTGTCGATACTTATATTAAATTATCGACACTTTCAACATATTCGGTAACTTTTTCCGATTTTGTCATTTTTGAGACCTATTTTATCATATATTTACCTGTTATATTGGTAAGGATCGATACATTTTAATAAAGTGTCGACACTTTTTAAGCGCTATAACTTCTTCTCTTTTAAATTCAGAAAGTGTCGA